TTTATTTCCAACATGGTATCAGAGCAGGGATAACTTGCTTTGATCCTTGTTTTAAATAATGGCCACAAATTCATCTTCCACATCCTCCCATGGCGGCCAAAACCAGATCTCTCCCATACAACTTCACAATCAGCTCATTTCAACCAAACTCACTGATGAAAATCACTTGATTTGGAGACAGCAGGTCCTAACCACTGTTAGAGGGTATGGTCTTGAAGGTTTCCTTGATGGATCTAACCAAGCTTCTACAAGATTCATTCCTGGTTCAGAGGTAGGCCTTCTTGAAGTGAACCCAGAATATACAAGCTGGGTAAGGCAAGACCAACTGTTAGCCTCATGGCTTCTCTCCTCTCTGTCAGAATCCATCTTGATCTCAGTGGTTGGTATGGACAGCTCTTCCCAGATTTGGAAAAGTCTTGAGTCCAGTTTTTCCACAAAATCCAAAGCAAGGACTATTCACTATAGGATTCAGCTGCAAAATCTGAAGAAAGGAAGTCTCAGCATCAGGGAATATGTCAACAAAGTGAAAGTGTGTTGTGACACTCTTGCAGCTGGAGGACATTTAGTCACAGAACAAGACCAAATCATGCATGTCCTGAGTGGTTTGAGCTCAGAATATGATGCTGTGGTAGTGAGCATTAATGATAGACCAGAACAGCTCACAATGATTGATGTGATGTCTTTGCTCTTGACTTATGAAAGCAGGCTTCAGGCCACAGCACTCATCAATGACAACAACACTCTTTCTTCTGCAAACCTCACAATCCAGAGTAACAAACCTGCCCACAATGCATACTCTTCAAGGGGAAGAGGAAATCAGCAAGGTTATAGAGGAAGAGGGAGATCTGGCAGGGGAAGAGGTGGAAGGAATCCCAACAGAGTTCAATGCCAAATATGTCGTTACACTAACCACACAGCTGACAAGTGTTACAACCGGCTTAATCCAGATTTTGTGGCTCAGACATCTCAGCAAAGGCAGTTCAATGACAACAAGAGCATTGGTCAATCCTCAGTTATGTTTGCATCAAAGGAGAGCAGCAATGAGAATGAATGGTTTCCAGATTCAGGAGCCACACACCACATTACAAATGACTTTGCCAATCTCAGTGTTACATCAGAATATGGAGGACCAAACAAGCTTCAAATTGGAAATGGTGCAGGTCTTGAAATCTCTCATGTTGGTAAGGCAATGTTTGTGGGTTCTGGAACTTCCCCTTTATCCAAACATACTTTTAAACTCAAAAATTTGTTGCATGTTCCTCACATAGCTAAGAATCTCATTAGTGTTGCTCAATTTGCTAAGGATAATAATGTCTTCTTTGAATTCTTCCTTACTTTTTGTGTTGTGAAGGACCAAATTTCAGGAGTGCCTCTTCTCAAAGGGATCCTTAAGGATGGATTGTATGCCTTCCAGCTGAATAGATTAACTCACAAGAGTGAAGGGACCAAGACTTCAGCTGTTAGGACAGAAAAAAGAGTGTAGTGGTCAAGCTTGTTTGTCTAGTTTGGTTAAGTCTTTAGATGTTTGGCATAGAAGGTTAGGTCATCCCTCTTTTGATGTTACTCAGAGAGCCTTAAAATCTTGTAATTTGCCTTATGCCAATAATAAAAGTTCACTTTGTTCAAACTGTAGTCAAGCAAAATATCATAAATTGCCCTTTCATGCATCTGATCATGTCTCTAAATTTCCTCTTGAACTCATACACACTGATCTATGGGGACCTGTACCACTTAAATCCACCTGAAGCGGTTCAATGTTAGAGAGGCTTTATTTTTCGGCGGCACCAATTTTGGCGGTCGACTCCGCTGGCACATTTCATATCAAGAGAAGCTGCAATTATTGTGAAGGCTTTTTCCTTCTACATGGGCCATGGGTTTGACCTCTACCGGCTCAAGTCGGGATACTCTCTTGTTGGAAATAAAACAAATCATCTTGAAGAAAGCAATAAAGCTGTTTGCTCGAGATTAGGGTTCTAAGCTGAAAGAGGCAAACTTTGATATCTGTATTTCTTATATTTGAAGACAGACTTTACACATATATATATTCTTTAATAAATGACCTAGCTAAGACTATATGGATAAGCTCAAACAGTACAATAGCTGAAAAGTAGACAAAATCAGTTAAAGAGGAAAAAGCCAAAAATTCAAAAATTTCGAATGCATGGATCTGCATGGCCAAAGCTGACGTGGCTTTAACTTCTGTGTTGACTATTCTTCATGGCTTGCGTGGATTTTGAGCTCATGCTAACATCCCCCCTCAATTCGAGTGAGCATAAAGGAACAACATTTAGTTTGTTGCGCATGCGAAGAAAGAATTGCCCAGTGAGCGGTTTAGTGAAAATGTCAGCCTTTTGATCATTGGCAGGGACATGGTCAAAAGAAATGGATTTGTTTTGAACCTTTTCTCGGATAAAATGAAGATCAACTTCGATGTGCTTTGTTCTACCTTGAATTACTGGGTTGCAGGACATGAACACTGCACCCAGGTTGTCCACCCAAATTATTGGTGCTGCCGTGGTAGAGATACAGAGTTCATGCAATACAGTTTTGATCCAAAGAACATCAGCTACGGCATGACCCAAACTTCTATACTCAGCCTCGGTACTACTCCTAGAAACTGTGTGTTGTTTCTTTGAACTCCAAGAAACTAAGTTAGTGCCAACAAAAACACAATGACCAGAGATTGACTTTCTGTCATCTGGATCCGAGGCCCAATCTGAGTCAGAGAATGCTGCAATATGTAGATGAGAGGATTTGTGAAGATGTAAGCCATAGTCCAAAGTGCCACTGATATACCTGAGAAGCCTTTTCATAGCTTTCCAGTGAACATCCATGGGAGACTGCATAAACTGACTAAGTTTATTGACTGAGAAGGTGATGTCAGGCCTAGTGAGAGTAAGATATTGGAGACTCCCAACTAGTGTCATGTACAGCTTGGCATCAAGAAAGGGGCTGCCATCAAACTTAGATAATGCAGGAGATGAGAGCATGGGACTGGAAATCCCTTTGGAATTCTCCATGTTTGCCTTAAGCAAGAGTTGCTGAGTGTAGTTCTGTTGAGTTAAGATCATGCCCTCAGAGGTGTAGGTGACCTCTATGCCCAGAAAATGATGCAGCCTCATGGTAGGTAAACACCAGAAGTAGTTAATATCTTGGTATATCACATGTTATCCGCCTAAGTAATTGAGGCCAAAGAAGAGTAGTTTTCTCTAGATGATTATATCCATCAAACTTTCAACAAACAACTTACTCTAACAAATAACTTACTGGCCTTATAATATATATAAAAAAAAGATTAAACATTAATTAGACAACTAGGAATTAACTAAGCTTATCACTAATTTAACCAAGCTTATCACTTTCTCATATTATTATTCACGTTTTCTCTCTCTACAACTTGAAAATCCCCAATTTTTTTCCCCAGTTAGAGTGCGATCGGAGAGCATCGGGCTCAGGCCAGGTTTGTCGGCTCAGGCTTGGTGGTTGCTCGTTCTTTCCTCCCCGTCATGGTTCCGCTTTTGTTGTCAAAGCGCCATTGCGGGGAGAGCTCAAGGCGGAGGGTGCCAGGCGTGGTGGCCGACGGTTGCTGCGATTGTCCATGGAGGTTTGTTGTGGCGGTCCAGTTTTGGTCTGCCCCTTTTCAGACCTCCTCTTAGGTTGGGTAGGTTGGGACCTCCGGCGGCTGTGGCTTTTTGTCAAACGGCCCCGGAGATGGCGTGGGGGGCTGTGGTGGTGGACTGACCTCGACTGAGTTACGAGTCTGGGAGGAGGCTTCATATCTGGGTCCGGTGTGGTCTGCCGGTATTGTGGTTTATTCCTGAATTTGCGTCTCGATGTTTGTTCGGTTGTGTTGGCGCTGTGGTTGGTGTCCGATGGGGAGGGCGTAGATTTACTTAGCTTAGTCTGTGTTGTGTGTTGTTTTTGTTGTGTGTTGTGTTGTGATTGTTTATTGTAGTTTGTGTTTTTTCGTTTTTTTTTTTTTTTGATTGGGAGTTTCTCCTCTTGTGGGAGTTCCTTTATCATCTGGTGGGAGTTTGTTGCGTTAGCCCAGCAGGTGCTTCCGCTCTATCCAAGTCTTCTCGAGTATTGTGTTTGTTCTTGTCAATGTTATCAAAACCGGATCGGACCGGCCGGTTCGACCGGTTGGACTGGGAACCGGACCTAGTAGCGGTCCGGTTTGCATGTTTGGGCCGCTGGGAGCAAGAACCGGTATCGAACCGGTTCAAAACCGGTAAAATCGGTGAACCGGTACCCGGTCGAACCGGTTCTGAAATTTAAAAAAAAAAATCTTGATGAAATAAAAAAATAAATTTAAAAAAAAGAAGAGTGAGATAGTATTTTGTAGTTTGATGAATTGTAATGTTGGATTGGATATATTTTGATGTTTGATGACTTTATGGTTTGTATTTGTAATTTAGATTGCCTTGCTTTAGATATTGAATTATTAATCTATTGTTTTAGTGAACTTTATTTAGTATTGTTTATGGTAAACTATACTTGAAATATTGATTTATCAATTCTTATTTAGAAAATTGTCATTATATGCTATAAAATTAATGATATATATATATAATTATATATTATACATATAAAATAAATAAATAAATTATATATTAGTTAAACCGGTTCGACCGGTTCGATCATCGGACCGACTAGTGAATCATTGAACCAGTAGCTTCACCGGTTCGATGACCAGTTCGGTTTTGAGAACATTGGTTCTTGTTGTTGGGTAGGTAGATTCAATATTACACTGTGTGTAGCTCTCCCCATTAGGTTCAGCTGGTGGGCTGGTTTTTCTGCGGATTCGCTGTTTCTAATCTGTATTTGTGTGTTTGTTCAATATCCTATCGTGTAGAGAAAAAAACCTAACCAATCGCATAATAATGAGTTGATTTCATCTCATTCATTAATCACTTGTTTCTATAATTTACAGAATTACATGCAAAATCAGCTCAGGACATTTGATCCAATCATAACCCCATGCCCACCCCTAGTACAAATTAACCCAAAATGAAAACAAAAGTGAGAAAGGTTATGAAAATTGACAACCTAGACAAGTTGAATCTCTTGGCGCCGCGGTCCGTGAGGCCGTCCTTGTCAGCCTTCTCGGCCGCGAGAATCTCGACTGGGAACTTGCACGTTCCGTTGGAGGGATCTTCGGGCACAAGCACCCCGAGACCGTCAAAATCGCAGGTGGCCCCTTTGATGTCGGCCTGCGCGCTTGCCTGGAATGCCATGTTGAACGCGTATGACACATTCTGCCTCATCTCCAGATGGCTACACGAGCCTCCTGGGGACAGGGTCGTGCAATCCGCCAACTTGCATGCCTCCCCTAGTTGTAACCTCACCTATTTTAATTTTTTATTATTTTATGTTAACAACACGTTTTAATCATGCATGAAAAGAAAGATGATGAAAAATTAGTAGGTACTTTGTCGATATCTGATGTGTCGCCGTTGAATATGCACCATCTTCGGGGCATGTGTATGAGTCCCTTTCCGGTGGTGGGAAAGATGTCGCGGCCTTGACCTGTGAAGTCGATCTTGTACTTGGGCTGGCCGTCGCTCCAGTAGACTCCCCAGTGGCGTTGGAATGGGGCCATGTTTATGTAGTTCTTGTTCTCATCCGCCAGTGAGTGGATCGACACATCTATCGAGGCCCCCGGCCGTAGAGGAGTCCCTTTGTTGCTTCTTATGTATGGCAGAAACTCCTTGAAGAACCTTTCTGCATTTTCCACGTTCGCATTCACATACCCGTCCGTTGGCCACCCGATCTTCCCCACCATTAGCTCCATACCTAATTGATCATCAACTAATTCACCTTTATATGAGCGCAGATTTATATAAAAATTATGATATGCAGTGTACCTGGCGACCCAGCCTTTGCGATGGCGTGAAGGAAAGAGTCGTACACAAACTCAAAGACGTTGCGGTAGACGAGGCCATTGTCCTCTACTGTGAAATTCGACCTGTTGTTGATGAAAGCAAACTCCGGATCCCAACCATCGTCCGTATGGTTCATGACATAGTAGATGGGGAAGACGTTGCAGACAAAGGGCGCATTAGTTCTGTTGAGAAGGCGGATAATCTCTACCATCCGTTCCTTCAAGTCTTCCCGAAAGTCAGCCTCTGAGGGCTTCATTATGTTGGGCGTCAGGACGTCTGTGAAGTGCGGGATGGTTGCGATGAGGTTGTCGTACCCATTTGCAATAATCGAGTCTTGAATCAGCCTCAATGCAGTAGGGGCCGAGTCGTAAGTGTTCTTACGTGTGTACGTTGAGAAGGGTTCGCTCCCTACAAAGAGATACCTGTCGGATTTTTAACTAGTTTAACCGAATTGTATTAATGTATATTGTCATTCAAAAATATGTTATTTTTATGGAGTTTGATATTAAATTTATCTTTTTTATATATAGATAGACTGAGCAAAGTTAGTTTTTAGGATAATAACTTCTGAAAGGCAGGGGCTGCTAGGAATTGAATCCCAAACTTTAGCATAATCTGTAGGATCTGAACCACTTTACTTTTGGCAAATCATTCGGTTAATTTCTGAACCACTCGATACATGCATGCGCACGCACACACACGTACACGACGTGCATGTCGATCCAACGAAATGAAACAGAAAACATGAAACCGAAAACACAA